TTAGATTCATGTCTGTTCTTGCTTGGGAGACAGGAAACAGACGCTGCTTTTTTCCAGCCCTTTGCTTAAATGAGAATGGACTGAAACCATAAATGTAGAGGCAAGGTTAGCCAAGTGTTTGTAATTTTCTTATTTTTGTGAAGACTATCTGGACTTAGCCCAGGTTCTTCATGGTGTTCAGAGTTGTAGGGGTGGCACAAGAAATAAACAGGAAAGACATCATCCACACAGTGTGCCCATGGGAGGAGAGAGGAGTTTCCTGCCTGTGAGGAATGCTGACCATCATGCCATGTACCTGGCTGCTCTGTGGTTGTTCAGTGTCCAAGTTTTCTGTGTTCGTACAAACTGCCAAACCTCAGAGACCCCATTTGAAAAAGAATTAAATGTGTGTAAGTGCCTAACTTTTACCTGTAGGAAACTGCAAATAAATGTCAATGATACATTTCAGAAAGGGAACATATTTAATGGGGAATTCTGTCCATCAGAACAGAAAAACAGCCACACATACTGTATAAGTACCAGAAATTATTTTTATTGCACCTTGGGACACTGTTGATGTCACAGCTGGACATTGCAGTGTAAGGATGCATCACTCACTGAGATTCACTCACATTTCCAAGAAAAAACAATGGGGATATTTTCTGTCCCAAAGTGAGGCACTGATGTCTGACAAACTGTTAAACCCAGCCAGCTTTGGATTTAACCCCTAACTTAACACTCTATCAGTCAACAGCAGCTCAGCACCGAGTTATACATCTGCATACATTACAGATATTGAACAAAGACAAATGCACTGTAAAGTAAAGAAATCTCATGAGGCACCCACACAGTTCACGTTAACTGATCCTTAAAAATTTGAGTAGATCTGAAATCGGATATAGCATTTTTGCTATTCATAACAAGTGCAGAACAAAAATTCAGGTATTACCCTTTAACATTCGCCACAGAGAATGTGATAACAGCACCTTTACTGCTGTCTTTGTGTCAGGATTCTCTCTATAAAATGTCCCTAGCAACCACAAAAGGATTTAACTGCTCAGTCACATGGATTATTCCACAGCAATCGGATTATGAGTATAGAACAAGTCCTCAGTCTAAAGAGGTGCATTAAAAAATGGCTCTGCTTTGTCCCAATCACATTAGTGCTGCACAAAGCTGCCAATTAACAGGCAGTCTATGGTGGTTCAGCTTGACTTTTATTGGCTAAACAAATTTGATGCAAGATTGTGGTTTTGACCTTTTTGCTGCATTAAGGTAGAACTGGGGGCACTGAGAAGCAGGACAGATGAAATGGAAAAAGCAGAAAGACAGATAAGCCATACTTCAAAACAGCTGGTCAAATGCACAAAGCATAAGGCGTTATCAACTATGGAAGTGTTCATTATAAAACTAGACTCCTGTAGGTGCTTGCTGTCTCTTACCCAGTGAAATTACTGTGTCCTATTTCTAGTATACAAATATTTGTCCCAATAAACTGTGCTAGTGACTAAATATCCTTCACATCCTGGAGGTGATGATGGTGTGCTCTCTTCATTTTATAAGTAACCCTCATCTGCTTCATTGCACTATTCTTACAGACACTTTAAAGGCCCAGATGGAAACTTCACTCATCAGAACTATCGAAAACATTTTATTTGATGCACATAAAAACAAAACATATCCCATTGTGAAAATTAAGGAACAGCCACTTATAAAATATTTTAAAATTCAAAATATTTAGAACATTGCATCTCCTGTAACTAAAGGCCTTATTAATCACTTGCAATTGTGTTTAAGAGGATTTTGTTAAGGTTTTTGGTTACACTGATGCTGGGTTTGTTCTGAGGTGGTATGAACATCGGTTTTCAGTGTGGTGTTAAGTTACTCTATTATTAGTTATTATTATTATATTAGTATTTGAGTCTTTACTGAGCACACACACATTAAATATTCACAGTGCTGGTGGGAAAACTAAGTGAATCCTTGGATTTAATAAGTGGTTGAACCTCCTTTCCTCAAACAAATGCTTCCAGTAGCTGCAGATCAGACCAGCACAGCATTCAGGAGGAATTGTGGACATTTCTTCTTACCAAACTGCTTCAGTTCAGCCATATTCTTAGGATGTCTGGTGTGAACAGCTCTGCTGAGGTCATTCCACAGCATCTCTATAGGGTTAAGGTCTGGGCTTCGTTTGGGCCACTCCAAAAAGTGGATTTTCTTTGCCTGAAGTCATTCCTTAGTAGATTTATGTGGGCCTTTTGTTGACCCTGCCCAGCTGTTGCCTATAGATTTTCCAGACAGATGAATGTCTGTTACAGTCTCCCGCTGATGGTCATTTTTGCACTCCTGTCTGTTTTCTCACTTTTTTTATTTCCTTTTCTGAACTTATGTCTGCTTTGGCAATTGGAAGTCTTAAGTTTTAAGTCTTCTCGGATCTTGGACCACCCAGCTTGACCTCTGCTTCTGTGACCTTGCCTTGAAGGCACAAGAAATTATCACTATGTGACAAGCAGCTTTAACAGATAAAAGGTTTCACCTGACTATATTTTAGATATCTGAAAATACATTGTGATATTTTGTTATGGTTTAGTCCCCCTCACCAGGAGGGTGAGGGAGAACTGGGGTTGGACTCAAGATGGCTGACCCAGGTGCTAGTACAAAAAAGGTGGTTTAATGGAATAAAAACATCATAACAGGGTCCATAATACATACAAGGGAAGAGCAGTGATGACTAAGGAGACCAGGACGGTAAACACACAAACTAACGACAGGAACTAGGATAGCAGAGGATGAGAACGGACAGATGAACAAAAAGAACCAACGTAAACAACGTAATCCACAGCACAGAGACTGTCAGCGTGGAAGACAAAGCACGTATTTCTGT